GAAATAAGTATATCATATCTGTTATAGAAACAACCTTCAATATTCACATGTCATTCTTCTATTCGACTAAATCGTTTAACTAAACGTCAAATAGCTGTTGCACGTCAAGAACGTTTAAAAGAAATTCAGATGTGGTCCTTTATTCGGGAAATTTTAAGTTACTTCTGCTTTTTCATTTTACTTTATACAATCACTTATTCAAATCAAAATTCTAATGGATATTTTCAAGTTGATCATTTACAAAAGTATTTTTATAATTCAAGAGAAATTAATTCTGATTATTCAAAGGTTAGAGATTTTGATGTAAATATTTTTCTATCTCTATAAATAATAGATCTCGACCATAAATGAATATTGGTTATGGTTAGAAGAAAGTTTTGTTTCAAATATTCGTGCTCAACAATGGTATAATGGTGATGCACCTCGTTATTTAAGTGGTTTTACCAATGATAAAACAAATCGATTCATTGGATGGGCAACAATGAGACAATTACGTACCAAATCTCAATTATGTCATGTTAAAAACGAAATTATTTCAACATGTCAATATGATTATAGTTTATTCAATGAAGACAAACATTCCTATCAACCAGGATGGTTAAATGAAACTATTAGAACGTATAGCTTATCCATTAGTCAATCATTTCAATACAAATCAAGTAAAGACTTAGATACATATACTTATGTTGGTGATCATGGAAGTTATCCCGGTGATGGTTATGTTTATAAATTTCGAGGTGGTTTATCTGATCTTCAAAGTAATCTATCTCAACTACACACATTAGGATGGATTAATAATCAAACACGAGCTGTGATTATTCAATTTACTTTGTATAATCCAAATGTTCAATTATTTACTGCAGTGACATTTCTCATGGAATTTTTATCGACAGGTGGAGTTTGTCCATCAGCTCGAGTTGAACCGATGAGTTTTGACGGTAATTTGATTATTTTCTCTTGATAAAGATAATCGTTTGTTTCTTTAATTTAGCATTCACATCACCATTTCAATTGATTTGTATGATGTTCTATATGATCTTTATTATTTATTTCATGTGGATGGAAATTAAATCATTGTTTTCATTGAAATGGTCTTATTTTCAACAGTTTTGGTCTTATGTTGAAGTAGGTATGATTGTATGTTCATGGTCAAGTGTTGGAATTTATGTTTGGCGATACAAAGAATATAAAAGAATTAGTTCATTATTTGAACAAACTAATGGATATGTTTATATTAATTTACAATTTGCAAGTTATATCAATGATATCTTAACATATTTCTATGGTTTTTGTTGTTTTTTTGGAACAATTAAACTGCTTCATCTTTGTCGATTTAATGAACGTCTTATGTTGTTTAGAGAAACACTTAAATATGCTGGAAAAGAATTAATTTCATTTTCTATGATGTTTTTAATTGTGTTCTTCGCATTTATGTGTCTTTTTAATTTATTATTTGTTTCGAAGATTTTGGGTTGTTCAAGTTTATTAGAAACAGCACAGATGCTGTTTCAAATGACATTATTAAAATTTGATGCAACGGAATTAGTTGGGGCTGCAGCATTTTTGGGACCATTTTGTTTTAGTTTATTTATTCTTTTGGTTGTTTTCGTCTGTTTATCAATGTTTTTATCGATTATTAATGATAGTTTTCGACGTGCCCGTGATGATATGAAGATTGAAAAAAATCAAGAGATATTTTCATTTATATTAAATAGATTTCAACATTGGACAGGTAATAGAATTTAGTTTAACAATTCATAATAAGAATTGACTGATATAATAGGTTGGAAAAAAGCAAGTGAAAAAGAAATTTACCAAGAAAGAAATGGTTTGATGCATTCAGGATATATGAACGGGATGGAACATCTTTCTGAAAAACTTGATCAAATACTTGATGCAGTCAATCGAGTTAGTGAATTTAGCTTTACTAAGATTATATTAATGTTTGCTTGTTTTAGCTTTATGTCAGTCGACAAGCTGAATTAACAAGAGCACAGCAATCTGACATTTAAGTATCAAATGAAGAAAAGGACAAATTTTAAATACATAATAAAAACTTTATTTATTGCTTAGTACATGTCTTTTCGTTGCTATCGATGTTGTTTATTTTATTCTAAAAAGAAAATTCAATTAAACTCAAATATATTTACTTTTCAATGTTGTAAAAGATGATCTGACAACGTGATAACACCTTCTAAATTGTTTTTTCACAAAATAATAACTAATACTAATATTACTTAGATTGAGGTGTAAGAGCTGGATCCGACAAGAATGATTCGAGAGTCAACGAAACTTGGAAGCAATATTCTGGATACAGAAATCTTCACATTTTTCCTGGATTATCTATAAAATCCTTGCTCTGCTCGATAAGGAATAACTAGAAGTTTCTGGATCCGAATACTGTCATCGATTTTCAGGACTTTTCTATCCAAAGCGGTGACTTTTCCCTCTTTCCCGCTGGTTCGGATGTTTCTCGAGGGTGTGGATGTGTGAGTACGGTATGAAAAGATTACTCTTACCCACACCCTGCTTATCTGAGAAGCTTTTGAAGTGTGTATGTAAAAGCAGGTTAATTGTAGCTAAAATAATTAAATGGGCTTACTTTTTTTCTAACGTTGGCCAAAGACAAATACATCCCTTCCACTGACGATTATTCCAAGTACCAGCGTGGTTATGAAAGAATTCAGTCACTGCCTTTTTTTGTGCCGGTCAATCCTACAGATCTTTCAGAAACTTATACCATCATGGATATACACTGGCGGGTAACTGAATTATATACTCGACAGTAAAAATACACACCAAAAACAATATTTTGTTTTCTTCGCCCGAAGCAGTTGTCGATATTGAGCTCTACCTTTAATACATCTATGCTTCTATCACATCTTGGTCAGCTCTACTCCCTGTTTAGTTTGAAAATGCGAAGCACATCTGTTATGCAAAATCCAAACGAGTTTAGCTATATCTTGTAAAACTTAATAGTTTGATGCTGGCGGATTGTGGACTCGAGTTCACGCCATCATATATTAAGAATCTTACAAATTTAAAGTCTCTACAAATATCTTTTAACTACCATCGCTCTTTACCCAATGAAGTGTGGATGTAGGTGTAGGTGTAAAAAGGAAACACATCCAACCACACTCATATCCTAACTTACACCCACACCTACAGCCTTGAAGGAGAGCATCATATTAGTGACTAATACAACATTATTCTCTATGTACGCACTCTTTTATAAACTCTCAGATTCGCAATAAAAAAATATGTAATTACTAGTAAATTTGTATTATAAAATAAGTTAATAAAATTGATAGAATATAATAGTATTTAATTTGAATTATTATCTGACAAATAGTGACATCTATTGTCACTATGATGATAAATTTTTTCAAGCATTTTTTTTTATTCTAGTCCAACAAGTACCAATATTATCAATTGATTCGATTGATAGACTTGCTCCACGCGTCAGTTCTCTTTGCCTCTCATAACGTCGACCAGTTCAAAGTTTGATTTGAGAGTAATCTACTCAACAATATTATTTTCTTTTTTTATGTTACCATAGTGAATGATCACTTTGTCTTATAAATTGAACGGTAACAATCATGGTCGACAATGAAAAACGAGACAATATAGCAAATGCTCGTCGAAAAGTATTTTTATTTTCTTCATTTTTAATCTTAACTATTTCAATATTTTAGTTAAGAAAATTTCGTGATCAACAACAACAACAGCAAAATAGTGATGATCATTTGACCTTTAGTCCAGAAAGCAATGGCACTAATGTTTATCCTATAAATGGAGTAAAATTACTATTTAAATCTAATTTTTCTATATCAGATTGTTTTCTTTTCTAGACAACAAGTGAACCTATTATCAATTATAATAATAATACGTAAGTTTATTTTCTCAATTTTCAATCAATTAAATTTATATTCTAGTTCTCATACTATTCCACAACATTTAAATAGTTTTGTTAATGAACAACAAGCTATACTTAACGGAATACATGTAAATTTATCCAAATCACCTATTACTGAATTAGAAGTAAGTTATAGAAAACTTTCGATTACTTGTTTCACATGAATTTATTTATTTTAGGAGCAAAATCGTCAATATGCATTGCTAATTGAAAATCAAAAACAACAACGACTTCGTCTTGAAGATCAACGGCAGTATGGTGGTGACAGTAGTATGGTAATTATTTAATAGAAAGCTTTCAAATCACTAACATATATTTTTTTTTAAGTCTGGTCGTTCAAGTCGAGCTCAATCTGATGTTGATTTAGTACGACAAATAGAACATAAATATCGTCGTGATTTTGAACATTTACAAGAACAACTTGAAGTAATATTTGATTAATTATTTTTATTTGAAAATATATTTCATTTTGTTATTTTAGATTCATGTTCAAACAATAGGTATTTTAGTTGCTGAAAAAACTGATCTATCAGCTAAATTAAGTCAATCAGTAAAACAATATGAACGTAAACAAGGTGAAATTGATGAAATTCAAGGTCGTTTAAAAGCATCTCGTGAACGTGTTGAAGAACTTGAAAAACAAAGTCAAAATCAAACATCAAATGCACAAAAACGAGAAATTGTTCGAAGATTCAATTTATCTATTTGAATTTATTTATTGTTTTTCTTGTTCATAGGCAACAAAAGAATCTGATAAAGAACTTGATCGACTTAAAACAGAAAATATTCAACAAAAGTAAAAAAAAATATTTCAATTTAATAAATTTTTTCTTTGATTTTAGTCGAATAATCGAAGAATTAAAACAAAATCTTATGGAGTTTAATGAAAAAGTTGATAAACGACAAAATACTATTGATCAATTAAATAATGAAATTTTAAAATTAAAACAAAAATCTGAACAATCAGAAATTCGTTTACAACAGTTTCAAGTTTGTAACAAAATAAATAAAAAAATTGAATTTTTTATTAAATATTTATTTTAATTAGTCAATTAATGATACATCAGTAATAAATAAATATGAACAACAAATTGATGATTTACAAAAAACACTTACATTAAAAATAAATGAAGCTGAAGTGGTAAGAAATAGAAGAATCTCTATAAACTAAAGAAATGAATTTATTACCTTGAATAATATCATTGATGAAGAAACTATTTTTATCAAACTAATAAATCTTTCGTTATTAATAGGCCAAATATTTGACATATTTTTCTCGTCAGGGTTAAATCAAAAAAAAAATTTCTTCATCTGATTTTTCGTTGTTTTTGATGAATTATTCAAAGACTTGGATATACATAAAAATTAACCGATACTTATCATTCGTATCTATATACCTGCTCTATCATTTCATGATAAAATGTACAGTGGAATGTATGAAAAAAATAAATCATCGTAGCAATTATTCTTATCAATCTAGATTTTCACATATTTCCTCGAATTCGATGTTTAAAAATAGAATATTGAATTTAAATGAATTCTCTAAGAATAAGATCATGTAAATTTCTATATCGATGAAATTATTCTCATTTGTTTTCTTTAAAGCTACTTTCGTCCATTAATCAAATGCGTTCGGATAACGATCAAACACAATTACAATATCAACAATATAATACGAATGTACAACGGCATATACAAGAATTGAATGAGCAAGTAAGATTGATGAATTCATCATTGAGAACTTTATTAGATATTCATTTCAAAAAAAAATAGATCAAACAATTAGTTCAAACAAATTCTCTACTGGAAAATGAACAAGAAGCGATAAAACAATCTTATGGTATAAATAATCTATTGACAATTTTATTTTAATTACACATATACCTATATTTTTATTTAGAAATGAAGATAAGTGAACTACAAAATACTCAAATAGTTCATAATGATACTACAAATAATGATTTTATTCTTGAACGTGATGCACTTTTACAAGAAAATCAATTATTTAAACAGGCTATTGATGAATGGTCAAGACGATTTGAAGAAACACGATTAGAAAACGAACAAATAATCAAGTAGACATTTTTTCATCTTTTTTTCTATATAATTAATAAAAATTTATTTATTCATCCATCTAGACACTTAAATGACAAAGATGAATATATTTTTCAATTAGAAAAAAGTAATGGAAAAGTTCGTAAGTATTTTTTCTCTCAAAAGTTTGTGGATTAATTTAATTTTATAAAAATCATATTTTAGAAGAAAATATGGTTGATCATGAAAAACTATTACAAGCAACACATGAAGATAAAACAACGTTATCACGTGCTATTGCACAAAATAAACAATTAAAAGAACAGTTAACTGAACTTCAAGATGGTTTTATTAAAATGGTATTGTAATTCAAAATAAAATAATAATAATAAATCATTTTATTTTCTGATTTAGTCAAATGATAATATGAATTTAACAAATCAAATTCAAGCAACAGATTATTTAAATAAACAATTAAATGAACAACTGGCACAAAAAGAACTTCAAGTAGAACATATACAAACAACGGATAATGTATGAAAACTCTTGCTAAATGATTTATTTAATATATGAAATATTATTTAGGTTCATAATCATGAACAATCTCAAATAGTAGATAATGCTGAACAAGGAACTACTACACAGGTAGATATATTTTCGCTTAAAGGTTCTAATTTTGATGAGTGCGTGCTTGAAGTAAAAGTCAAATATCATTTAATGATTATAAAATCATTATCAAGATTGCTGTTGAAATATGTGAAATATCCTTGTTATTAATTCAATCAAGCAATCAAAAAGAAATTTGCATTTTCTGAGTGATCATTAATTTCAAATAAAAAATGGTTTGGTAATATTTTTCCAAGTCATGGTTTAAATTTAAATCTGAACCTAACATTTTCTAATCGAACGGAGAGAATCTAAGCATATAACGATTTTCAAATCAAATTTTGAAGTTTTCGCAATAAGTTCTTCGTCAAACACATAATAATAGCATAAGATTTTCAGTATTAAAGGAATTTATTTATTTTTCTATAATTAGCAAGTGAACGATTTATTAGCAGAAAATAAATCATTACGAGAACGTCTTTCACAACTTGAACAGCAACAACAACAATCTCCAGTGAAAAATGATACACAAAATAATGACTCCAGTTCTTTATCATCACTGCCTTCGGCTGTTGATGAAAGTCCGCAATTACAAAATGGATTTGTTGAAAAAATTATTGTAATAGAATTTTATTTTTTCTATTGAATCTTTCTTAATAAAAATATTCTTTAGGATCGTTTTAATCGTGCAATGCGTGATAATGCTGATTTACAAGATCGAACTCAACAACTTGAACATCTTATTTTACAATTACAAAGTGAAACTGATACAATTGGTAAATAAATATTAAAAATAATCTATTTTATTTGATAATTCTTTTTCTTCTTCATAGGTGATTATATATCTTTATATCAACAACAACGTCATCAACTTCATCGACGTTATCAAGAAAAAGATGATTATATTAAACAATTAACACAAGATCGATTAAATCTACAAGTAGAATATATATATTCATTTTTGTTTCTTATGAAATTTATTTATTTATTTATTTAAGAGAAAATTATCCGAATTAGAAACATTATTGATGCGTGGTTTAAATAAATCATCGACGGATATGAAAGATCAAGAGAAAACAATTCAGAATGAAACGATATCTTCCGATCGACAGCAAACTATCGATGAAAATGGTATAACATTTTTAGTTGATCTGTTTAACGAGATAGTTTTAAAACGTTCGAATCCTATATTTGGCAATGATGTCCTTATTCAGTCTTCAATCTGAACTTCTTTGTAGATATTATGTTATCATATTTACTGAGCCAAATAATTCTTTTTCTTCAATATTAGCTGATTAGAAAAAAAAAATCTCTAATTATGACAAAAAATTTGTATGTTATTTTTTAGAATGGCCTGAAATGATTGATAATGCAATATCTGCATTATCTCCAACTGAACAAGCGACTTCATTTCATGATGATAAAACAGCAATTACGAGTGTACCTTCTTTATCATCATTGTCTAATTTTGATAATGAAACAAAAGCGCGTATCTTAATTTTACTTAAAGAATTAGGACAAAGTGATAATTCATCATCAAAAACAGACAATTTATCAACAACGAAATTAGCGTTTATTGGTAAAAATCTCTATGTTTGTTCGACATGTACAGGTCCTGTTCAATGGGTGTGAAATAAAAAAGATAATTTTGTTTACTTTTGTTCTGAATAGACATGTTTACGTGTACTGCCATATTTAATTGATCTTTGTCTTCATTTTAATCTTCTTATTTTATTATAGTACTACAGAGAGAGAGACAGCAAAAGAGGGCTTCTTCTTCTTTTATTTATTTATTTATTCTTCTTATTCTTTGGATTAAACAATTTTTTTTGTTGGTTTTTCATACGATGGTTATTGATTTTTCTGTTTTTTATATATCTGTTGTTGAGTTTACAAACGCTTTGAGTAAGAAAATCAGAAAGAAAGAAGTATAAAACGATAACCAATATTGTCTATATATTTCATATGATTTTGTTGATTTGCAATAAAATCGATTTTTTTCGTTTTGTTTTATTATTTTGTTCTTTCACAGGAAAAAACTTGTTGTCTTTTCAGATGCTTGCTTCTAAAGCTCACGAACTCATTAAAGAACTTGATCGTTCTCGTGACACTGTTTTACCTCCTTACAATGCTGAAACAATTCGTTTTTGTCAACTAGAAGCAAATGAATTATTTCGTCAAAATTATGAAGATGTTCAAACAGTTGTACAAACTGGTACAGATAGTAATAGTAGTGCAAGTTCCGCACCAACTCTAATGCCAACAATAAGTATTCGTCATGCAGCTATTCAACGTATAAAACGTTGTTTACTTGCCTATGCATATCATCGAATGAATAAAATCAAATCACTTCGTTGGTCAATTGGACCTGTTTTACCAGAACATATGAGAAATAATTTATCAATTGATGAAATAGAATTTTTTTCAAATTATAATCAAACATTATCATCATATATGCGTTCAATTGGTAATAATCATTCATTAGATTTAACATCATTTATGATTCCACCAAAAAAATTATTTGCACATATTAAATGTATACAAGATTATGGTCCTTATGAAACAAGTGATGGAACAATTATACAATTAACATTTAATAGTGAACATTATGTATTAACGTCAGATGCTGAACATTTAATACAACGAAAAATTGCTGAACATATTGTTTAAATTATCAGATAAAACTTTCTTTCTTTCTTTTTCTTTGTGTCAGATAAATAAAAACATCAGATATAATAATAATTATTTTTCTTTTCTTTTTTTTTGTAGATTATATCATAAATAACAACAAAAATGCCGTCCGATTCAAAAAAGAAACGTGATGCTCAAAAGAAAACAGCAGCTAAACAACGACAAGGTCAAAAAAAACCCGATCCAAAAAATAATGCTGAAGGTAATTCTAATCCAAATGATGACGATTACAATGAAGATAATGATGATGTGGACAGTCAAAATGAAAATGAAGCACCAACAAATGGTACAACAGATATTGTTGAACCAAATGTTAAGTCATTAATACAAAATCTTGATTTATTATCTATGGTGGAAAAAGCAAATGCTGATGCACGAGCTAGCACCGGTAAAACATCAGAAAAATTCTTTTTCGTCTTTTAAAATCGGTTTTTTTTAAAGGTGTTCTTGGAAGTCATCCTCGTGGTCGAGATATTCATATAAATCAATTTTCTGTTACATTTTACGGACAAGAAATATTAGTCGATGCTGATTTTGAAATGAATTGTGGTCGACGATATGGTTTTGTTGGTTTGAATGGATCAGGAAAATCAACTATCCTTGCTTGTATTGGTAATCGAGAGGTAACAAAAAGAACACCATATCCTTAGAATAATAACTAAGTCACGACAAAGAAAAGCTATTGTCCCATAAGAATTTCATGTTTATAGATTAAAAAAATTTGATGAGATAAGAAACTCAATTAAAGTGTCCTATCATCATAATACAATATATTTTTCATGACATAGCTAAATTATATCGATGTGAAATATTGTCTTATGAGAAATATAAATAATTTACATATAAAGAATTGCCTTATTATTCAAATCCCTAAACAAATACCGTTTTAATTAATATAGAATCTTATATTTTTTTATATCTTCTATTAGGTACCAATCCCAGAACATATTGATATATTCTATTTATCACGTGAAATGGCACCGGTAAATAAAACGGCATTACAATGTGTTATGGAAGTTGATCATGAACGTATTAAACTTGAAGCTGAAGCTGAGCGCTTAGCATCACTAGCTGATGACGATGGTAAGCTTATATAAAGTCATAAAATAGAATTTGTTGTTTTCTAAAAAATGAACAATTAACAAAAATAAGCAGACATACATATATATATATATATAGAAAGAGACAGGAAAAAGGAAACCGGATGTAGCAAAACACACTGAGAGAGAAAAAATAGAAACAAAATAATTGTCATCACCGGAATAAACGGTTTAATTAGCATCACTAAATAATATTTATTTATATATAATAACGTTAAAATTATCTAAAGTAGAAAATGAATAGTACGTTAATTTCAATCTGTTTTTTTATTTATTCAAATAATACTCATTACTTTTCTCATTGAGAAAACATTGGAACAACCTTCTTTATCATGTTTGAATTTTGCTATAGGACGGAAGATAAAATGGTAATAAGAAATGCATTAAATAATGCATTCTATTTATCACATCAAATTTTGATTACTGATTCCTAGAAATAGAAATGAAAACAAAAATATTTTGAAGTTTTTTAGTTTTTAACTTACACCTTCAATTGATAATTGAGTATCAATGAGTGTTGAATTTGGTATTAATGAAAATAATGATGATACAGATGTTTCAACATTTGACATTTGTGTAGTAGTATAACCAGACCAAAAAAATCCATAAAATGTTGCTAAAGCAATAGCAAATAATGATATTGATAATAAATAACTGAAAACAAGTAATAGACGTAGGAGTTTTTTTCGTGTTAAATTTGCGTGTGGATGTCCAAGTATCGGAAGTGAAGATGTTTGAGTATTATCTGTTTGCGCATTTTTAGCTATACTTATCCAAAGACTTTGTCGTTGTGAAGCTAATGCTGTCATTTGTAAACTTTTATGATGTGGTATTAAATGACTAAGACTAGTTATTGATGAACCACGTTTCGCTGTCATTGGTATAGGTTTTACAGTACTATTTGGATTTGAACATGTTGACATTAATGGAGTTTTGTCAACAGTTGTTTTTATTGATGAATATGGTATACGACCAAAGACTAATGGTTCTCCAGTTGATGAAGTTATATTTTTTTTTATTGCTGGACGATTCTTAAAATTATGACTATTGTAAGCTTGAAAAGCACGATTGTGTGATGAAGTAGCCATAGAACATGAGTATTATATTGTTAAATAATAGTTTTCTCTTTTTATAGGAGAAGTAAATCTAGTCTAGAAGGGAAAGAAAAAAGGCGAAGCGGAAATAGATGCGTGAAAAAAAGCTAAGGCATTTCTATTCGACCATGTGAAAAACGAATGAATTGTTCACGCAGAAAATTACAATCGTTTATCAGTAAAGAATTCAATACTTGTATTTACCTCAAATAACAAAATTAAGAAAAGAGGAAGTTGATGATTTTATACAATCGACAATACATAAAAAAAAAGAAGAAAAGAAAAAGATCTGTGGGAGGTATTGAGTGACTCCGTATAGAGAAAAGATAATAATTCGATTGTGTTAGCATAAAAAGACGTGCATTGGTTCCGTTCTAGTTGTTACATGCAATAAGAATAAGATAAGGAAGAAAGAAAAATGTTAGAAGACAAGATTGGAATTTTGATCGGAAAATAAAAAAGAAGAAACACGAATAGATAAAAAAAAATGACAGAGAAATAAGGAAAAAAATTAGATGAAAAAGATGAATATATCAGATGTATAAATGAGAAAAAAAATAACGAGAATCATTCTATATAGATACAGCACACATTGTCAAGTGTGCCAATTATCTTATACACACAGCAACGATTGTTGACATTCTCCTGATGCTTCTATTGAACTGTCGTTGTCTATATATGTCTATCAATCTATCGAACTATGTGGTATTCTAATGATAATGTTTGGCATGCGAAAATGAATGTTCTCCTTTTTTTTTCTTCTCCCCAATAAGACAACATGTTGCCCATGTTGTTTCTCATCATCATCATCATCATCATCCTAATGTCCTTCCTCTAGCCTAGTGTTCGGCATACATACGGATATGACCAAATGTTTCCTAACATGTTGACGTCGTGTCCTGCATACACACACACACACACATATATATTTATAGATCGATAGGATAGATATACTCATCATATTGTAAGAAAAAAAAACGCAATACGATCCTTAAGGCTAACTTAAAGATCTGATAATTGAAAGAAAACCTTGTATAGGCATGCGTGTTTTTTTATGACTTAGTGAGATTACAGAGAGAAAAAAAGAAGAAACGAGCAAGGAAAACACAATATTTATATCTGTAATAAGAATAAGTACGATATTATTACTTCTAATTTATAATGAGAGAAGTTAGATAAGACTGCTTGTGACTTGTTGTTTTAATTGATGAGAAATGCGTGTCAGAAGGCATAAATATTGTATCTCTTTTCTTTTTTTTTTGGCTTTTTTCTTCATTACTTTTCTTTGAAAATAAGAAAAAAACATAGAGTAATCATAAAAAAAAAAAGAAAGAAGTAATGCAAAGAGAACGATGAGCTGTTGACAATAACTCACTGTTACTGACTGTGTATGTGTTACAGTTAATAAGCTTTTTTCCTTTGTCAGTTCTCCTTATGCGCTTTTTCTTCAATTATACAAAAACTACCGAGTTTCTTTTTCCCTTTCTTCTGGTCTTTTATTTATTGCTGGAAGCGTATTTTTCTGATGAAATAGACCTATTAATGAACGTGATATCTATTGATGTTGTTGTTGTTGTTGTGGTTGCCATTGATGTTATCAAGAAATATGAATTGTTCAGTGAACTAGAAAGTGTCTACTATGAAAGATAAGTTATTTGCCTCTGGTTAATCTGATTGGAAAAATCTGCTTGTACTAACGATACGATCGATCATTTATTCTCTGGAGCAATATCCAATAGAGTAACTAACTAAAAATTTGTTTATTTCGTGATAGTTACATTGCTGATAGAAGAGAGAATTTGAAATAAATTATTTTCGAATAGTCGCTTGTCTCTGTTCTCAATCCTTATCATAATAACTGCCATACAATGTGATTAAGTACAGTGACAAGTGACATATTATTTTTGTGATTGTCGTCAAATCAACACACTCATTGAAGTACAAAAAAAACTAATCATTGTTGTATTTTTTAATAAAGAAGATTGATTAATTGGAAAAATAAATGTTAAAAATAGAAAAATAAAAAATTAAAGGAAATGAAAAAATATGTTTATGTATATTCAAAAGAGAAAAACCCAATGAATATAAGCATTTCTCTTCTCTTTTTTTTCTTCTTGTCTGATAGGAAAGACAAAATCGTCTGAGTACCAAGAGAAGATTGTTTGTATGCACAATATATTTGATAGAAAATCGAGATTCACAGCATGTGTTCACTTGTATTTATCATTATACAACAGATGAAATAAATATCTCAATAATAATGACCTTGACTTTGTTTATCTTTTCCGTCTATTAAACAAGAAAGAAAAAAAAAGAAATAGAGAAATCAATCGATCTAATAGGTAGAAATGACATGTCAAAATTGTTTTCAAAGAAAATCTTTTCCTAGTAACTGATCAATGTCATTATATAAAGCGTTGATAGTAATGACATATTTTATCTTTAACGTAATGATAAGCACTAGCTGACAAGCAATGAATGTGCATCATGCTATGTTTATTAGTCAACACAGATGGTTAAGAATATCTTGGAATAATAAAGTCTATTTTATAAGCTTTATATTATTTACAAATGTTTATTATTGAAAGATATTCTCGTTAAGTAATACCAACTGGATATAAAACAAAAGATCAAAATTAATTAATGTCACTAAAGCTAAACTAAACATTGTTGAACAGAAAATAATTAATTAGTATAGAATATTATTTATTTAAAAAAAAATACTATCGAAAATTTTGATCTAAATATTGTTTTTGTTTATTAATATTATTGATATACTTGAAAAGATGACCTGTATTATTGAACTTCGGAAAACAGAAAAGAATAATACTTTTTTAATCTTTTAAATCATTTTTTCCGATTTTATTGTTTAGAAGCTCAACAATTATTACTTGATATATATGAACGTCTGGATGACCTCGATGCCAATAAAGTAAATCTATTTATTATTTTTTGCATAGAGGAAAAATATAATTATCTGTTTTAGGCTGAAGCACGAGCTGGTAGACTTCTGCATGGTTTAGGATTTACAAAAAAAATGCAACAAAAACTATGCAAAGATTTTTCTGGTGGTTGGAGAATGCGTATTGCTCTTGCACGCGCACTCTTTGTCAGTCCACATTTATTATTACTTGGTAATAGAAATTCTTTTATTATTTATTTTTTATTGTTTAAAATTTGTTAAGATGAACCGACCAATCATTTGGATCTTGAGGCTTGTGTATGGCTCGAAGAAGAACTTCGTAATTACAAACGTATTCTTGTTATGGTATCTCATTCACAAGATTTTCTTAATGGTGTTTGTACAAATATTGTACATTTAACTAAACAGAAATTATATGTCTATGGTGTAAGTTATAATTATAATAAAAAAAAACATTGAATATTAATTTTACGTAAAAAAAAATCTTAGGGTGATTATGATACATATGTTCAAACAAGACAAGAATTAGAAACAAATCAAATGAAAAAATATCAATGGGAACAAGAACAAGTAGCAAAAACAAAAGGTTTTATTGCACGTTTTGGTAGTGGCAGCAGAGCATCACAAGCTCAAAGTCGAGAAAAAACTTTAGCAAAAATGTTGGAAAGTGGCTTAACAGAAAGAGTTGTTGCAGAAAAAGTAACAAAATTTCTATTTACTTTTCTTTTAATCTTACTATATTTTATTTAGATTCTATCAATATCTTTTCCTGATCCAGGAAAGGTTCCACCACCTTGTTTAATGGTTCAAGATGTTGCATTTCGTTATTCAGATAATACAGTAAATGAGTTTATTATTTCAATTGTTATTTTTTTTAAATATTTATATTTTATTTTAAAGGATTGGGTATTTAAAGGCATTGATTTTGGTATTGATCTTGATACACGTGTTGCATTAGTTGGTCCCAATGGTGCCGGGAAATCAACTTTACTTAAATTAATTGATAATCAATTATTACCAACACAAGGACAAATACGTCGTAATGCACACTTACGTATGGGACGTTATCATCAACATTTAGCTGAACAATTAGATTTAAATTTATCAGCACTTGAATATATGATGAAAGTGTTTCCTGATATAACTGAAAAAGAAGAAATGAGAAGAATTATTGGTCGATTTGGTTTAACAGGTAGACAACAAATATGTCCAATGAGAAATTTATCAGATGGACAACGATGTCGAGTATCATTTGCATGGTTAGCATGGCAATGTCCACATTTATTATTACTTGATGAACCTACAAATCATCTTGGTAAAAAATAATTCATTTGAATATTTTCTCTTGATTATTTATTTTATTGATAGATATTGAAACTATCGATGCATTAGCTGATGCTATAAAAAGTTTCGCTGGTGGAATGGTACTTGTTAGTCACGATTTTCGTTTAATACGACAAGTAAATAGAATAAAGCAAAAAATGAAAAATAGAAATACAAGAAATTATTTTTCTTTTAGGTTGCCGATAAAATTTGGATTTGTGATCATCAAGAAGTTAAAGAATGGCCCGGTGATATTCTTAGTTACAAAGAACATTTAAGACAAAAAATGCAAGCAGATTTTACTCCATCAAAAAAATAGTTTTCTATGTTCTAGGAAAATTTGTTTTTCGTTCTGTGTGTTATTTTTTTCGACCTTTTGTTTCTTGTTCGAATGTATTTCGACGAAATTGATTATCTTTATATCAAGTATTATACTCTTTCAATCCAGCATATCAGAGAATAAACACGAATAAATGATGGAGACGATGAACAACAAATAATAAAAATATAAATCTACTTCTTCAGATACTTTTCACAAAATGATTGAAATTTTTTGAATTTCTATGACGCATGAATGCGTGACTAGTATAGTTTTTAATTGTTTGAAACATTATTTGTCAGATGAAGTCATACATAGTATTAAATGATATTCCTACGCAAATATGCTGGTAATACATCCATTCATGGCTGCATTTAACCTATTTCTACATTATTGGGATTTAGGTGGGCACGAGTACAAGTTCACTGAATAAATCAGGCACGATTCCAGAAGTTAAATATTGTTTTTGTCAATATTTAATGATATTATCAATAGTATCAAGTGAAAATTTGTTTGATGAAGATGACTAAGAAAAAGCATACAAATATATTTATATTTCTACACTAATAACTTGTCATTTGTTTATTTTTCTTTTGAAGATTTCATTGCAATACAAAATATTGCCTTTTTAGTTGCTATTATAATTGAAGTACGAGCATGACATTCGAAAAAAAAATCGTACTTTTTAGTGAGATATACAAGATAAATGTAACAATATTTCATTCAAAAAAATCGTTTTTTTTCTTCATGAACTCATTATATATTCATTTATTCGAACAATGATTTAAAAATAATTTGATAAATAATTTATTCACACTTTATTTATTTTTCTTCAACACTTCTTTGTACACTCATTTCTTATGATTAGTTAAAAATTTAGGTTTCTATTCTTTTACATGATAAAGAAATCTTAAATGAACCTTTTTTTTCTTCTTTACAATAGATTTACAATGAAGTAGGAAATATGTCTACTCTTACACAATATGTTATTAGAGAACTTTTATTACTTACCATAGACATGATATGTGAACAGCGATGTGTTATTTAGAAATAGATTATATCTATCATAAATTTCTTACGTTAATCGTACCGAGAAATTACAAATCATTCATACCTAAAATAGAATTTCTATATTCTAGATTAGAATTTATTTGGTCACTAAAATAATTATCTATTAAAAAGTTTGATTTTAAATGATAAACATTATTCATGTGAAACAGGTAATTATATATTTCAATTTCTTTTTTTTTTCTTAATCAAATGTTTTGGCATGCTATTTTATTTTGTATAAATCATTATCAGATGGTTTTTTTTCCTTCATTGATGCGAAAGAAAAATCATTAATCATACGAATAGAACCATCTGCTTTATTATAAAGCATTCAATATAAATACATTGTTGAGCGTGACTTGATTGGACACTGTCAAATAATTACTACTAATATAATATATATATAACCAAATCAAATAGAAATATACGTTTTTATTAATATTCTTTTTTTCTTGGTTATGTGTATTTTAACGTCAATCATTCATTGGTTTCTAATCAAATATTAATGTGAGTAAAGTTATGATTATATTCTTATTTCGAATAGAATAAGTATGAAAGAATGTTTTTAATTGTTATAATTTTATTTTTATTAGGAATAAAATAAATTTTTATAAATATAAATAATCAAATAAAATAGGAAGATAGAGAATGTGTATTCATAATAAATTGATAAAAGAATGAAAAAAGAATTTAATGAAAATTTACATATGACGTGTATTGCCAAAAATAATGCCGGATTGTGTTGCTCCTTTGTTATATCCATATTGTGTGCTAACGACTGCATTTCCTTGACTGATTGTTTCTGCTGAAAATCGACGTTCATTTTTTTCACTTTCTTTTGGACCTAAACCACGTATTCCTTGTTTTTGAACCTAAGAGAAATAAGCAAATGATTGAGTTTTTTTTTATTAAAAAAGAAAATAACTTACTTTTCGACCGAGAGCAAAAAGACAAAGAATAACTTGATGAAGATTCATTTTTTCATAAAGATCAACCGTTTGAAATGTTTCAGCATCAGATAATCCAAAGTTTTTAGCTGCTTCAGCAAAACGGGAAATATTCTCCATGAGTTTAAAACTATTTTCACCTAAAATAATTCGAAGTAAAAAAAAATACGTGAAAATTATTTTCTTCCAATTACCGCTATTAATTTTTGATATAGAATTTGGTGTAATTGCATTTATCAATCTAAGATAGAGATGAGAAAGATTTATAAAATTGAATTAATAATAAATTCATACTGGCAAAGTTTACGACCATCCTTTAATTGAGTATAGACATTATCCATATCACCATTAGTATCAAATTGTTCACCAATCATTTCACTAACCCATTCTAATGCTTCATGAGCCTGTGCAACATCATATTTTGATTGAATCTATTGATGAGAAAAAAAAGCAAATAGAAACTTACTATCAAATGATATAATAAATCATAAATTCACTTACCTTTTCCCATGCAGCATGAGCAAAACCAGATTTCTTAGCGCGTATTACAGCAGTCATTTTTAGATATATATTTTTTTTGTAAGAGTCAGAAAATTAAATCGTTCTATTTTTATATACTACTATTTGATTTTCACGTGCTATAATCGATGATATTCACAACTATATATGGATAGAACAGTAAGCAAGAGAGAGAGAGAAAATACGCCTTAGATATAGGGGCGTATTAATCATGTTAGTATGTGAACGTGAATAGAAAAGATAAACAAAGACCATTCTTTTTAGAAATTCTTCTAGAAATTATTAAATAAGAGAACGATTGAAGCGAAATTCCGACTGATTATTATTTGTTTTTATTCTGTTATATTAATAAAACGTGTCGACATCTATTTATCTGTTGTCTTTAACTAAACAAATTCTAATACAAATGAAAAAAATATACAAAATAAAATCATTCTCAAGAGATTCAAGTGTCATTCCAAATTGTATCTATGAGAGTCTTAATTGTTTATGTTAATAAAAGTATTTTATTTATTAATTTTTTACATACTTTATCGAATGCTTCTTTTGCAAAACCGTGTTTTATAGTGCGTTCAGCCATTAATTACCTTTCTCGTTTTTTTTAAGTACTCAAAATATAAGATTCAACAAAAGAAAAAGAAAAATACTAAGGTAGAAAAGATAAGAAAGATACTTTTGTAATGCAGAAGAACTACATCACAAAACATATAAAAAACACGAAACAAAAAAGAAAAATTCTATACGTTTTCTTTTTTGAGGTATGAAACAGCTGTCAGTGTCAGACTTTATTTAGTTTTCTTTTTATTTTTGAACTCTTTATTTATATAAAATTTAGCCAGTATTTTGAATTTTTTCAATCATGTGTTATAAATTGTGAACAAAAGAAGTCAAGTATTGTAATTGTTCGTTCGATTTAAAAGAAAAAAAGGAAAATTATGATTTTCATTCATGTGAAAGGAAAAGGAAATATACTATATTTTATTTATAATTATGTATTACGAGACGAGGAAAAAAAGAAGAAGAAAAAAAAAGAAATACCGGCAAGACTTGTTTTTCTGTTGATATTTGCCGAGATAATTCATAGGAATGATGGATTTACCAAGAAACCATTTATATCTATTATAGATCATGATCATAATGATGTTTTGATATTTTATCTTACGATGGTAACTTCAAAACGATCTGGTCAATGTATGTCACATATTACATGTTGGCATCCATTATTACCAGTGTTTTCAGCTCGAATAATTTTTGCTCTACGAACTCTACTAGGAATTGCTGTAAGTTCATTATAAATTAGTTTTTTAATCTAACTATTTCTATATATATATATATATGTTTTATTCAACTGTAGTGTTGTGCGACATTTACTCTTTCATCTGTAACTTCAAAAATTATTCAAGGTCAACTTTTATTAGGTATTGGTTTTATAGTTGGAATTCGAAGTACACTTGGAGCAACAATTCAAACAGCTAGTCGTCTTTTTCTAGCTGGTGGTATTGCTGCAACTTATTGTCTTTTTATTGTAAAAGTCTTTCCAAAAGATATTTATTTTGCTGTTGGTGCAACAAATATTTTTGTTTTAATTATTGTCTATACAGATTTACCAATAACAGTTCGTCGTTATTCTATTTTACCAGTATGTATTATACTTCTACAATGGTTTACCAAATCTTATATTGATACTGTTTATATACTTCATACATGGGCATCATTATCAATTGGTGCTACATTAGCCATTATCGTTTCTTGTATTCCATTACCTCTTTTACCAACAGCATATCGCGAATTAACAGAACGTATGAAATTTATAGCTCGACAGACACGACGTGAAATAACAGCAACTGTTTTACTTATATCTGAATATCATAATGTACATTTAAGTAATAGCTATAATTTTGACAATAATCAAGCTAAATATAAAGCTCGAGCTAGTAATAATGATGATATTGATATTCCAACAAATTCTTATCGTGAAGATGATCTTCGTGAATATTCAACATCATTTGAAAATCTTAAAGATGATCATTTACTTAAAAGTGATATACAAGATTTACATCTATTAGTTAATGAAGAAATAAAACATATGCAACGTGCTTTAACAGAAATTCCATTTGAACCCTACTTTATATTATTAAACATTTTAAATTTTATAAGAAAAATATGTCGTTCAATTCCATTTATAAGAAAATTTATTAAAAAATCATCAACACTTCAAACACGTTTAGAAGTATGGGCAATAGGTTTTGCTTCATTACAACGAACAATTACTGCAATGTTATCATTAGATCATCATCATCATGCATTTGTTGGACAACGACCATTAATAAATGTAAGTTTTATTCTTTCTTTTGTTTAAAATGAATAATGAATAGAATTCTAGGCAATATGTCTTCTTCTTGATTGTACATTTAATTTTTTGGATTCTACACTTCCATATACAATATCATCAACAAATCATTTAAATACTGCACAAATAATAACATGTCGTGCAAAAGTTGAAGAAGCATTACAACATTTTTTTGAAATATATGCACAAGTACATGAAAATCGTTGTCATTCAAATATGTCAAATACAGATTCAATACTTTTAAATACATTTCTTTTACTTGTGCTACGTCTTGTTCATGTTATAATAACAGCTGCTGAAACAAGTGAAACACCTGGTTCATGTCTTGATATTGATTCTGAACCAACATTAAATTCATTTAAATCAACAAGATCATCAAATTTAAAAACTATATTTTATAATTTAGTAAATTATATTGGTTTACGACCATCATTTGGTAAATTTGTACGTGCTGTAAAAACAAGTTTAAGTGTACTTATTTCGGCTATTGTTGTATTAAAATATCGTGAACGTTTACAAGCCTATGGTTGGGTTTATTGGGCACCAATGACAACAGCATTAGTTTCAGATTCTTCTGAAGGTGGTACGATTCGTTTATCATTTCAACGTTTAATGGCTGTTTTACTTGGTTCAACTTATGCATATATTATTGTACTTGTTGCACATGATAAATTTTTTATTGGATTATTTATATCATTATTTGTTGCATTTATGGGTTATGTTAAAACAGATGCACAAAAAGAATATTTTGCTAGTGTATGTGCTCAATCAGCATCAATAATAACATTTATTTCTAATCAAGAAGGATTTGAAGGATCGAATAAAGCAGTTTTAGCACGAACAAGTTTAACTTTTTTAGGAATATTTATTCATGTTCTTATTTCAAATTTACTTCTACCAATATCTGCTCGAGGATTAATTAAAAAAAAAGTAAATTCAGAATATTTCTTTTGATACGTTATTTTCGTTTTTCTTTTGATAAAGGTATTAATTATGATTGATAGCGCATCTATGGCTTTAAAATCAGTCAGTGATGATTTTTGTTCATTTATTGAACCAACTATAACAGTAACAACAACATCAACACCAACAACAGATTCGAATTTAATCGATCAACTAGCAATACCATCAAATAAAACATCTATCAATTTAATGGATACACTAGCAGAAACAGAACGTATTGCAGATGATTTTCCAGATTTACTTGAAGAAGCACTTAGTGAACCGAATCTTTGGAAACGTCCATTCATAGAAGTTAAAGATCGTTATAATGACATGTCGAAAACATTACGTCGAATTCTTCGTAATATTCGATTTGTTCATCGATGTACAACAATACTTAAAGCAGAAACGAAATTACATCTAGTACAAGAAGCTAAGTAAGTTTATTTGTTTTGATCTACAGATAATTCTAATCTCAATATTTAATAGAATACGTTTTCTACATTAGAGAAAAGTATAAATAGATTGCCATTAAATTAAAATCGAGGTTTTAGCTAATATATTGATAGTTATTTTTGTTTTTCGATTGTTAACAATGATCTATTAATCATAAATTTTGTAATTAGTTATAACAATTCTAAATAATATTTAGATGGGAACCTCAACGAACAAGTATTGTTCCTATTAATATTAATGATAATACTAATACACGAACATCTCATATATGGACAATGACAGAATTGCGTCAACAAAAACAATTACAAAATGATCTTGATATACCATTAACAATCTTTATGACACATTCACCACGTTCATCAGCACGATTTGAAGGAAATTCTATAGTTTCAATACATTCATCACCATCACTTCGATTAACAAATACAGCATCATATCAACCAGTTGTTGAACATATTTGTACACTTGAAAAACATATTCAACAAGTTCTATCACTTACAAGACAATTAATTGAAAAACAAGCAACTGTTGATGTTGGCTCATTTGAATTACAACAATTATGTCGTGAAGATTCATTTGATGAAAAACAAAGAAAAAAATATCAAAATAAAACTTTAAATCGTCGTTCATCATTTTATCCTATAACACAATTTGAATCTATACCAATATCAACAAATCATTATAAATTTTTTTCTTGTTGTTATACTAATGAACAAAAAGATAATCAACCATTACCATCATTACGTCATGTTGTAGATTTAATGCTTGCTGCATTAATACAATTTCTCTATGCAAATAATCATTTTATTCGTACGGAATTAGTATCAATACAATCAATTGGACATATTTTAGCATTTCATACATTATCTTATGCATTGAAAGATATGGTAGAAGCAACAACTGATTTAGCTAAAAATGCACGAAGAATAAAACATATTGATACACGTACATTGACACGTATAGATGGTGAAGAGAAGAGTACATAGTCATAGGTCAACATAAAAATAAATTTCTTAGTCTTATCTAATCTCAAACATTTACTTTTTCTTTTTTTCTTATGTAACATACAATATTTTCTTCCTTCCATTTATAGAATACAAAATTTGTACTTAAAATTCTCAAATCGACATAAATAAAAATTGAATCTCTCTCTCGTTTTTTGTTAGTAATGTTTTATTATTGTAATAATACTTAATAAATTATTTATTTGTTTTTCTAATAAATGTTGATAGATATTTTATTTCTAATTTTGATATAGAATTGTTTACTATTTAAATTCATGGAATATATTGATGGTTATCGATCATGTTGTAAATATTATTGCAAAGGAAATGTTAATATTATTCTTTCAGCACCACATGGTGGAAGTTTAATACCTAATGATGTACCTGATCGAACAGAAGGTATATGTATTCGTAGATCAGATGAAAATGATACTTTATTGGATAAACAATTTTATAATACAAAACTTGTAAAAGATATTCATACAGATGAATTTACAGAAAATGTAGCAAATGAATTATTTGAAAGATGGAATTTTAAACCATTTATTATTATTGGTAAATGGCATCGTCAAATAGTTGACTTTAATCGAGAAATTCGTGAAGGTACATTAAATCATCCTGAAGCAGTAGCTGCATATGAAAATTATCATTTAAATTTAAATAATGCAATTTCTCATGTAAATCAATTATTTAATAAAGGTCTTCTTATTGATATTCATGGACATTCACAAGGAAAGTAAGTTTAATAGAGATAATTTTCTTTCGATAAATATTTAACTAATTTTTTTAAGTTATACTATGATTGGATATATGTTATCAAGTAATCAATTAAATGAAGATGATCTATCTCATTCATCCTGTACAACATCAATTGAATCATTATGTCTATCAAATAGAAATGAATGTATTCGTGGCGAAAAGTCATTTGGAACAATACTTGAACAAAATGGAATAGATCCTGTTTATCCATCGTTAAAACATCCAAAACCAGAATCTCGAACGTTTTTTTCTGGTGGTTATACTATATGTAATTATTTTTCAAAGATAAATGCAATTCAAACAGAATTACCTTATGTTATTCGTACAGGAGAAAATAAATGTATGAATGCACAACGATTTGCACAAACTATTGTTGAGTATATGCAAATAAACAATTTATTAATATCGAATTAAAACTGATCAATATAAACAGATTTTGACGTAACAAATATATAGGACATATTTTATTTATTTTCGTATATACTAGAATTTAAAATTCAGATTTTAATTATAAAAAAAAACATTGACATATATTCATTAAATAATGAATATGTATATCAAGAATTGTATCTGTCAAATATTTTTAATAGATAACAATGTATTCTTATATATTTTGTCTCATATAGTTGCTCACATTTGCATTTTTTCTGTGTACTTGAAATGTATAAAAACTACTATTCCATATTCAACTGATCAAAAATTTGTTTCGATACAATTATCTTGTTTGTCAATACAGTTATAAAACAATCAGTCTTTTTGTTGTTATTGTTGATGGTGATCGCTAAATTTATTGTAAATTCTTTTCTTTTTTAACGAATTGGCAAATTTTATCAATGAGACAAGAATAATAAGCAACATAATAGATCATTCTTAGCAACTGTCATATACAAAAAATGAAATGCATATGCAATATAGATTTATTTATTAGTTAGATCAATTATAAATTTTAAATTTCTATAGTTTACGTTTACGGATAAATCTCAAAGCAACTCTTTTCTTTAATTCTCGTCTGAGTAATGCACGTCGTTTGTAGTCGTCATCGTCATCATCATCAAAATCATTGCTATCATCTCGTTTCTTCTTAAGCTGTTGTCGTTTTCGTTTCATATTTAATTGTTGTTTTTTATTTTCGCATAATGTATCATTATTTTCTTTTGCTAATGCCAAACGTTCATTATAATGTGGACAATAGTTCAATAATATTGTTGGATCTAATTTAACAAAATCATGACGTCGAACTATCATAGTCATTGCTTGTTCGCAAACGTTTTCTCGAGTTTCACTACCATTGATATCATCATCATCATCATCATTGTCATTATCATCGGTGGTGGATTCGAAGCTCATTTCATCTTGACGACGACGTAATTCTCGATATTCTTCAGGACATGAAAGATGATGACTACCCGGAAATTGCGATAGAGATGATGAATTAGCCGTGATAACAATAACTATCATTATTAATAAAATATATGTCGGAAGATAACTAAATAACATTGATTAGTTTTATCTACTTTTACAATTTCATTAAAATACTTACTGCATGTTGTCTATCTTGTATGTTGCTCAAGAAAATGATTTTTTTCTATATTATTCCAACATCTTATATATTAATCATAAACGAATGAATTAAAAAAGACGGAAAGAAAACATTAGTCCAATCAGACAAACAGAAAGAATAAGAAAAAAAAGATTGTAAAATTACGATTAGAAATAAGAAAAATCATTATTAATATATTCAAATTTATTTTTGTTTGGTTTCTTTTTGTCGGTTTTTACATATGATAAACAATGCTAATTATAACATCCTATCTAATCAACATTTCATTCTCAAAGCTTCGATTTTGGCATTGTAACGAGAGATGATGTCGGCATATTTCTAGAAGGTAATGAGACACATCCACAAAGCATCATTGCAAGTTTTAATTCACGCTTGAATACTTCAAGCACATCAAAAACGCCTTGACTTCCGTTCGCTGCAAGACCCCAAAGAATAGGTCGACCAACAAGTACAGCATCTGCTCCTAAAGCTAATGCTTTCAGAATATCAGTTCCACGTCGAATTCCACCATCTATATAAATATCAATCTTTTTTTTATTTGACATTGTTCGAATAGCAGTCACAATTTCAGGCAAAACTTCAATTGTACTAAATGTTGTATCAACTTGTCGAGCACCATGATTTGATACAACAATACCATCAACACCGGCTTGAGCAGCTAATTGAGCATCTTCACCTGTCATTATACCTTTAACAATAATAGGCAATCGACTTATTTGACGTAACCATTTAATATCAGACCATGTTAATGATGCATCAAGATTGTTTGCAATAAAATCATTTAATGCTGATACATGTTCATTTTGTGCTTGTTTTAAACCAGCATCATATAAATTTTCTAATTGCATATTTTCTGGTAGACGAAAACCATTTCGATGATCTATTTCACGATTACCAAATCGACACGCATCAACAGTAACAACAAGTGCACGAAAACCAGCATTTTCAGCACGTTCAACAAGTCGTTTTGTAAATGCACGATCTTTAAGAATATATAATTGAAACCATAATTGTGATGTTGATGTTGGATATTGTTTTAATGCTTGTTGATGTGCTTGTGCTACATCTTCTATACGTGTTGTTGATAAAGATGAAAGTATCATAACTGTATTAGCACGAGCAGCTGCACGAGCTGTACTACATTCACCTTCATCATCAGCCATTCGATGCATTGCTGTTGGTGCAATTAAAAGAGGAATTGAACAAGTTGTTTGACCATTCAGTAAAGACACAGAGCAACACTCTGTATTTGTACTATGATGTGAAACATCTACAAATACTCTTGGACGTAATTTAATTCGACGATAGGCATCTACGTTTTCTTGTAAAGTTATTTCATCATCAGCACCTGATCGATAATAATCATAAGCCATTTTAGAAAGTTTTTCTTTTGCTACTTGATGATAATCTTCGATATTAAGTAAAATTCGAGATGATCCTGGAATAGTTGCATTTTTAGGTAACGTAGTCTCCTTTGTTTGTTTCTTGGACATGATGACAATGATATATTTATTCTACTATTTGTTCACACTAAGTCAAAACTGATAACATATGTACTACTTGCGGCATCTTACTATTAAAAAAGTCCGTTTTGGATTGGTTTTTATCCTACACAAGTTAAAAGAAATGTAGTAATACGTTCGTATATCTTTTCATTTCTCAAACATATATATTGATTTTAAATTAATCATGACAAACCCAACTCGTATTTGTATAATCGGTGGTGGTATAATTGGAGCTTCAATTGCTTTTCATTTATCTGAAGCTGGATGTTCGAATATAACTATTGTTGAACGAACAAATATTGCTTGTGGTGCTAGTGGACGTGCTGGTGGATTTCTTGCTAAAAATTGGCGTACTGGTGCCGAAGGAAAATTTTCTGAATCAAGTTTTTTAGCTCATAATGAACTTGCTGAACGTTTAAAAAATGAATTTTCTACTGATGTTTTGTATCGTCGTTTAACAACATATAATTTATCAGTTGATGAAATTACTGATAAAACAAAAAAATCAAATGATTCAACATCATTACCAAAATGGATTACTGCTAATGTTCATCAACAAGAAATCTTAGGAAATGAAGATACAACAGCACAAGTTCATCCTGGGTATAAAAAATAAAATAGAAAAAAACATATTCTATTTATATATAAATTTATTTTAGTTTATTAACAAATGCCTTAGTTAAAATTGTAGTAAATCGAGGTGGACGTGTTGTTATTGGTAAAGCAAATGGTTTTCTTTTTGAAACAATAACAACTCATACAGAAAAAGATGAACATCATCAAACATCACCTATTCGTGCTGTTAAATTATTAATTGAAGATCAAGATCCAATTGAAGCTGATATATTTATACTTACTATGGGACCGTGGACTTGTAAGAATATATATTTTTATCGTTCTTTTTCTTTTAATACATAAATTTTATAGATCAAGCAGCACCATGGTTTCGTGATGCTATGGTATTTAAAGAAAATATTTCTCATCAATTAGATGCTATTAGTGGAGTTAAAGCACATAGTATTGTATTTAAAGGTAATCAACCAACTGAACCTTATGCATTTTTTCTTGCCTATCAATCCAATGATGGTAAAGTATTAGATCCAGAAATTTATCCACGATCAAGTATGCATTAAAAATAAAATTTTAATAAAAAGAAATGAAATATTAATTATTTTTGTAGATGGAGATATTTATGTTTGTGGTTTTGCTGAACAACAATCACAAAATTTAGTTGATAGTGGTAATTCAGTACCAATTGATGAAAAAAGTTGTGATCATCTTCGTCAAATTGCTGTACAAATATCATCAACATTAAAAGATGCAAATGTAGAAATTAAACAAGCATGTTATTTACCACAGTCAAATGATGGAAATCCATTAATTGGACGACTTTATGGATTAAATAATGTTTACATAGCAACAGTAAATTCTTTTAATGATTTATTAATCAATTAAAACTGTTTTTCGTTTATTTAGGGTCATAGTTGTTGGGGTATTCTAAATAGTTTAGCAACTGGTGCACAATTGACTCAATTGATATTAAAAGGTGAAATGTCACCATTTTTAAAACAATGCGATCCAGCACGATTTTTTCGACGTACAACAACTCAGAAATAGATTAAGAGAAAAATTTGTAATTTTTAATTTTTGTTTTATATTCAAGCTGTTATTAATATTGCGTGTGTTTTTAAAACGATAAAAAACTAGTTTTAGTTAAACTATTAAAAAAATATATTTTAAAATTTCTATTAAAATAATATTTTTGTGTTGTATAAACTCGAAGAGAGCGAGCGCGAAACTTTTAGTTATTACTGTATTTGTAGAGTACAATGCCTGTATCCTATGCCAACATAAAAATATTTGAATATCTCACACTTCTCGCAAGAAAAACTTCGAGTAGTCTAACAGCAATTATTTTCGCATGACTATTGTATATTATATAGTCTGTGTTGAACTAGGATCGTTATAGGTCAGGAAATTCATATTCATAATGAAAATGGAACAGACATAATATTTATATGTCCTGAGTTAAGTTATATAACCCATCTCGATCCAACCCAATCAAAGTTTAAAGTATACACTTCATTTCTATACTTTTTCATAATAAAATCAATCTTGATATTTATATACTCAACTTTTTTTTCTTTCTCGTATTCAATATTTCCATACAATAAACTTGGTACCTTTCTATTTTTTAATTATTTCCTGCTGAACAATACAACAAAGAACAAGTAGGTCAATATATTTCATAGTATGCATATTTATATTATTAGAAAATATATTCAGTACTTTGACATTAGTATGAAAATAAGACTACAATTTTTCTTTCGACAACTCATTTTTTAGGTTATCAAAATGCGCATACTTCAAAATAAATTTGCACTACAAAATTATTTTTCATCAAAAGTTCATGTCATACAAACTTCTATTGTATATATGATATATATATTTTTTGACAAAATCATGTTTCTTACTAACTTATTTCCTGTCAATTTCGTGAGTTAAAAATGGCATGCTGACGTCCAATACATATAATGAACTATAGTAACTAAATCGATATAAGTATCGTATGCCAATTTATTATCTGTAACTTGAATTTCTAATTTACATTAGCATAAGTCGAAAGGTTAATTATATATGGTTGAAGTTGTGTACTTCACTAACAAAAAGCCAATGTGATATTCTTTTTTAATGACATATATAAGCCTAATATAAAAAAACAAGATTTGAATCCTATCTTTTTTATTTCATCGTATTAACTATGGATTAATCGATGTAATTTATTTTGTAACATATAAAAAGATTATCTATTTTCAATTATGTAATTATTTATCTTAACTACTATAATGAAATAAATTTTTTAACTAAATCATTATAATTCAATTAAAACTCTTATCAATATGAAGTAGTATATATAAAGAATCTAAATCTAATCTTGAGATAATAGATTAATGAAATACAGACAAAACATAGAGTGTCGTTTCTTTTACATTGACAGCTGTCAAAACTTTTTTTTTCTTCTATTGAAGCTTTCGAATAAAATGACAATCATCAATAATCTACTAAATAATTAAATTCATCTATGGTATTCTTTCTAAATCATATAAAATCAATTTTTCTCGATTCTTTATCATTATTTGATAAACAGACAAATTTCTTTAACAATATTATAAACAATTAATTGATATAATATAATAAAGACACGGATTTTCTATATAAGATTTTTGACTCAATTTTCTCTTTTTATAACAAAATGCTGTTCATTAATGGTATATGAAACCCTTAGGTACTTTATATATAATTGTTCTATTAACACTTATAGGATGCATACTTTCGACAACGGTCTATATTTTTATTACTATTGTCTAAGATTTCTTTTCTTTTCTCTTCTTTTAGTTTGTCACTTTAAAAGAAGAAAAAAACTTCTATGAATATTGATAGACATGTAAATAAATTGGAAAAAATTACAAGAAAATGTCATTGACATAGCAAATAAAAGAAGAAGAAAAAACATAACCTTGGAATCTTTCAATTCGATCTCGGTTTCTTTTACAAACAAATATATATAACTTTATCATTGCCATCAAGCTAGGTTTTTCCATTAGAACAATATACTAGCTGGTGTGATATAAAAGAACCGAATGAACTTGTCATTTTTTATTAGATCTTATTGTCTACAATAATACAATATATAACGCACAATAAACTATAGATAATATAATTTTTGTTTTTTTTCTACAGAGAAAATATCAATGTTCAGAAACAAATATATATGATTAATATGTATAGTATTATTATAACAACAATTAATTTAGTCTTTCTTTCTTTCTTCGGATTGAAAAAAATGTACTGCTGTTTTTGGGTGTATATATTTTTAATGATTATGATCAATTTGATATATCTTATTATTTATCAATTTATAGCAAAATGTAGAAACAGTCAACACTTTCTCTCCATGTTTTCCTTTTCCCTTATTGGTAATATAGTGAGCTTCCGGTGTTCTGCTCCGTTCTGAAGAACATCTATTCTGCTCTTTCTTCTGCCTTTTTCCACTTTTTCTTTTCTCTCAACTACGATTATCTATCTGCATTTATATCTTTTCCATATATAGCTCAATCTAGATCTTTTTGAGCAAATAACAGAAAATGTGACAGAATATAAATAAATAATAAAGAATAAAAAAAATTTCCGAAAATTATATTTATTTTTTCAAATAGATATTCTAATATGGTCGATAAAAACTTTATACTTTCTCTTCTCGGTTGTGCCAATCTTATTGAATTAGTAAGTGTTAAATAAATAAAAGATTTTCTTAAAATTAAATTTTCTTATAAACAGACATTATTAATTGGTGGTTTTATTGCTATATGTGTAGCATCAACAAGTTATACTCAAATTATAAATTCTTATCCTAACTTGATTCAACACAATACAACTCAGACAGTAAGTATACAAAGAAAAAGCTGTAGATAAAAAGATTGATTGACATAGATATACACATATGTCAATCATATATTTTTCTCATTTTCTAGAATAATGCTGATTTAACTATATTTTATGATATTGATGTTTATACAATCAAACAAGCTTATCAAACTATATTTATTCTTATATTTTGTTTAACATTATGTTCATTTGTTGCACATATTATATTTAGTTTTCGTTATCGATATTCATGGCATCGACTATCGATCGGCGTAACATTTTTATCTAGTTTTTTTCATTACTTCCTAATAGACATTTGTCATCTTTTAGGTAGCATTCTTATGTGTTATCTATGCATTTGCTTTAGTTGGTGTGTCAGTTCTAGTTGCTGTAAGTAAAACAGAATAGAAATGATGTAGAATAACATCGCTTATATACATCAATATATGACCTTTTACTATCATTTAGTGTTGGGAAGATAAATTACGAAAACGATTAACTAGTACATATTTAAGTAATCAAGTTATTTCAACAGCAAATAATTCTATAAAACCACAGACTGGTTCAGCAGCAGCTGCAGCTGTAAGTCTAATTTTTCTCTTTCTATATATTAATTTTCTTTTTTTTAGACATTCGGATTTGCTGCATGTCTTATATATCTTGCAGAAGCATTAATACGATTTCGGCGTTTAGCCGATAAGATTCAAACATAATCCGTCCTCTGAGAATTTATTAATCGTATATTTTTTGATGTTTTCTTTTCTGTGCAATTTTCTTCTATATATAAATACATTAGTAACATAAAAAAAAACTAAAATAATTGTCTTTTATTAAGATTTATAGGAAAAGAATTATATAAATATAAGGACAGAGTTATCAATGATCATATTTCATAAAAAACAAAAAATGCATTCATCAACATTGATGTATAATGATTTCTTTCATGGGAAAATATTTTGTTTGTATTATCTGTAACTTAATATGAATCAATTTCATGATGATAATTATCATGGCAATATAAAGTTGTCAAAATCAATGTCATATTACTGAATTTGACAAAGAGAAGATTGTCTATCAAAAAAATAAAATATTTAGTATAAAATTACATTTATATTACTGCAAAATAGAAATATAGATGTCACTAATTTCATCTGTATATATAATTATCATTGATGAACTATTAACCAATAAAAATTCTTAGTTGTTTCTTTCTTTCTTTCATCTTTATTTATTTATTATATATTTTATTTAGATGAGTTTAGAAATAGATGAACATATTGTAGACAATTTGTCTACATATGAAATTTTCTATTCTTATCTATCAAATAATAATAGAACTACATAGAATAATTCCGAGAGTATTCTTTTTTTTGAGCAATTGCATTGTACTTATTGTTGATGAACGTCTTAATGATCTAGGAGAACGTAAAAATATGTTTCATAAAAATTCTTTGTACTTTAGGAAATTAAATCGGTAAGGACATAATTATTAGAAAAGAAGATTAACATATCGATTTTCCTTTTTAATATTTAATACTTTTACGGATTGAACTAAATAATTTATAGAAAAATAAATTTTTTACATACATTTATGAGTACCATGCATGTATTTTTTATCGTATACATTAAGATTAAGCATTTAGATTTTGAGAGTGAAACAAAATGTCAAAATAGTTTCGATATAAGTCTCTGCAATTAGAGTGTTATCACCTTCGAAAAAAAATTTTGATATTTTTTTTATTGTATTTTTCTCAAGGGAAAAGTTCTTTATTATGAATGAGATACTAAAGAGATCCGAATTATTTTCTCATCAAAGTAATTCGAATATATAAAATATTTTAATTTAGTACTTAGTGCTCGACATATGTCAGATATAGACGATCAATTATCGAAATAACACTGTTTAATTTGTATAAAATTATTAAATTTTTTTTTTATATTATAATATTTTATAAAATTAAATAATTATGAAATATATTTTATTTTCAGATTATTAAAATCTTATTTTTTGTATTATTTGTTTCGTAAAAAGAAATTTTGACATATATATATAATTGTTTTAGATGAGTACGGAAGATCAATTGTCATCATCTTATCATGTTTTAACACCACTTGAAAATGCTTTTTATACAAATATGAATAATCAAGGCCAACAACCACAAATGATTGATCGAATTATGTCAATCATAAATGATCGGTTAGATGATGCTCAACAATATAAAGATGCATTCAATCGAAATCCAATACAACCAGTATTATTTGATATACTTCGAGAAATTAAACAAAAGAATGGTAAGAAATAACTATAACATTTGATTATTATTTCAATGATTTTCGATAAAAATCGAAAATATAAAGAGATTACTGGTCATTTCAAAATAAAAGTAAGAGTGGGTGGGCATTTTTTGAAAAGAACAAAATGGAAAGCTACGGTTGTTACCATTAAAAAGAAGCGATGAAGACGCATCGGTTGTGCGTGTCCCTTTCAAAAATTACCCACCCACCCTCGTTTTGTTTTAAAATGGGTAGTAGTATTTAATATATGATAAATAAGAAGTTTTAAACCAAGTATTTGCATTATATTTGACTTGCACAAAACTTAAAGATACAGTCGCTCAAAAACTTCCAGTCATATATAAATTGCATATGCGATAAATATATAGGAGAAAAAAGAACGATAGAAAACGGAAGGAAAACATTTGACAAGACAATCTTCTTTATCATTGACACAAAATATGACAGATAAAATCGTGTATTGTCAAAATGATGAGTAAATTCAAAGAGAAAAAAAACTTCAATGAAACTATTGTGTGTATCTAGGTCGTATCTGAGTCGAAATGTTTTTTTACACTCGATCATAATGATGGATCTGTTGAGATATTCATATTATAATAATTTAACAATTGAACAGATTAAAAAAAAATAAATTGTTTTATTTTTGTTATATTAGGTCTTAATATGCGACAGATCTCGAATGAAGATGAATCATATAAACAAGAACTAGCTCGTCTTGATACGATGCTTTTAGCTGAACGTATAATAGATCATTATCCAAGTGATTTACCAGCTAATAATTCAATAGAAATTGAACATCCTGAATATGAAGAAAAACTAAATCGTATTCGTCATTTTTATCATACTGAATTAGCACAATTTGACAAAAATTCGAATGATTTTTGTACACATGTTTTAACATTACTTCATGAACAATCACGTGTACGACCAATAACACCTGAAGAAATTTCACATATGATTTCAATTGTTCGAAAAAAATTATGTTTAATACAAATTCAATTAAAACAAAATACATGTGAAGCTGTTATGAATTTACGTACACGTTTTCTTGATGCAAGGTAATTGAAATAAGCTCTATACGCTAGACATTTTATTTGACAAATTCAAATTTTTAGACGTAAACGACGAAATTTTGATAAAACAACACAAAAAATTTTAAATGAATATTTTTATTCACATTTATCAAATCCTTATCCATCGGAACAAGTTAAAGAAGAATTAGCACGTAAATGTGGTGTTACTATTTCTCAGGTAAATTTATATCGAACTTTTACATATACAAAAAAAAAGTCAAATGTCTCTTTTCTCAGGTCAATAATTGGTTTGGAAATAAACGTGGACGTTATAAAAAAAATATGCTTAAAAATGACTAATGAATATGTTCTTGTATATAATTCATAATCAATCTATGTATTCTATTGTTGTTTTTTTTTGTATAATCATTTTATGTTTTCGAATAAACTTGTCTAATCAAAATAATTCAATGAAAACATTAAAATTTTCTTGTTTTTTTCTTTAAACAGAAATCGATATTACACTGCATAAGACTTATCGATAAATTATATAATAATTGACATGAAAGTCGAAATTTTTCTTCTCGATTAACTCGAATAAATCAAGGTTCTACGACAGAGATTGTTTTTCATTATTGTCAAGCTGACAAATTATAGCTTATGAAAAAAAAATGTTGCCGTCAATATTCATCTGTCTAAGTCATATATTATTTATACAAATATTTGACAAGCGAATCCGATTTAAAATAATTCTTTTCTTTACATAGTTAATATTGAAACGAAACACATTATAAATACTATTGACAAACTAAACTAACATAAAGGTTTTTTTTTAAAATTAATAATTCATCATGTTAAGATATTTAATTAAAATTAATTATCAATATTAATATTATAAATATCATTTGTTATTTTATAACTAAATAAGAAAAATAATTTTTTTTTCTAAATAAAAATTAAATTCCAACCGATTAATACATCGCGGTGTTTTTGGTATAGAAATTGAATTGCTACTGGTTGCAACACGTTGATTAGAGGGCATTGGTAATAAATATTTCTTATCAGTTCGTAAACGTTTCGATGAAGAACATAAAATTTCAAGATCTCGTTTACATTCAAGTATATTTTTCTGTTGATATTTAACTATTTCTTTGAGTTGAATAGACGTCTAAAACGATTATTTTAATGTTTTGTAATATATATTTTTGATTTATTTTACCTGTGGATGTGTATCTTTACACTTTATGTTAAAATGTTTTTCTTTAAGAAATTTATCAATACGTTTTTCATATAAAACCCACATCTTTAATAACAAAAAAAAAGTTTTTTTTCTTTGAATAATATAATTCAATTGTTTACTTCTTCTGTTTTATCAATTAAATAATCAGAAATATATTTGGAAAAAATCGCATTTTTTAAACAACATACTAATTGATTTATATCTTGAGATGAATGTTGATCTTGATTAGATTCATTACTATCATTTGTTTTCGAATTTTCAACTATTTCTGTATTAGATATTTCCATCGAAATAATCTTACATAAAACAAAAACACAAACTTAAATAAAATAGTAACCAAGATAAAAATAATATTTATTTTCATTATACAAGTCTATACTGTAATTATATGAATAATCATGTTCGGAAAACCTGTAAATGACTAATGCTTTTAATTTGATAGGTATTATTATTTTTTTTGTCTTCTGTGGATAAGTCAATATTTATCTATGAGCATAAATGTATTCTTTTTTTTTTCTTTATAAAATATGTAAAGATTATTCTTCTTTATTAAATAGATTTTTAAAGTATTTTGATTTAGTAAGAAAACGAACATTAATAGATGATTTTAGTTTGTTCCACATGAGAAGGAATTTGTTATCTGATCTTCTATATAATGAAGTATATTATGATGAATATAAGAATTTCTTTGTTTCATTCAAACAAAATACTTTTCAAAAGAGAATGAGAGAAAAAAAAAAGAAAACAAAACAGACCAACACAACAAACTAGCACAACAAGTATATAAGAGAAAAAAAAAGAGAGAGGAGGAAAGAAAAACGATATCGTTTGTACAATTTATTAACAAAATATGACAATGAGAAAAAAAAGCGGCGAAGAGCACCGAGTAGAAAAAGAAAAGTGTGGTGTGTTTTTGTTTAATAATAGACGGAAGAAGCAAACTAATCTACATAATGAATAATAGAAATGATTAGATATAATGATATCTTTTGAAAAATTTTATTTTATTAAGACAAGTTTTTAGTTCACTGTCCAAAATATATATTAAAATCGTCTAAAACAAAAAAGAATTATAGATAAAATAAGAAAAGTTTTATTTTATTTACCGAAGTAATTCATCAGGTTGATGATGAAATTGAAATCGAAGTTGTTGTTGCTGTCTTTCAGCGTCTAAATTTAAACGACGAAATTCATTTTCATTATGGTCACGTATCGATCGTTCTCGAGCATTATTTAATCGAGTAAGATCTTCATGGCGTGGCATCTATAAAATAACAAAAAAAAAAGAAATTATTTTATGTTCAATTTAAAAAAAAGTCATAATTATACTTGAAGTGGATTAGCAGCAAGTGCTAATGCCATTGGATCAAATCGTGAATTATTTGCTAACATAAATGCCATTAATTCACGTTCACGTGATAGATTATGCATTGCTTCAAGACTTGACATTGATGATGGAGGTGGTGGACCAGCTTGATGTAATAGTGCACCACCATGAGAAAGACCTATTTTTATGATATATAAATATAAATATAATATTTAAATTTATTTATAGCAAACATTTACCTGATAGTGGATTGGGAAATGGCATCATCGGTGGTGGCGGTAGTGAAGGTCCACTTGAGTTATTTGAAGATGATGTCGATTGATCATTGTTATTACCCAAATGAAGATGTGTATGTGAATGTGAATGAACATGTGAATGATTATGTGTACTATTAGCAGCAGCATTTGCAGATGATGATGAATTATTCGATGGTGAAGGTGGAACAGGTGATGGATTACCAAATGGTGACATCATACTACGATAACGTGGATCCAATAAAAGAGCGGCTGTTGTAGGATCAAAACCACCAGGATTTTGACGTCCAACATTAGCATTATAATGTGATTGAGCAGCAAATAATTGAGCAGCCGCTGCAGCTGCTGCAGGATTCATTAAACGTAAACCTAATGGATCGAGATGACGTAGTGCTGCATTATCATGCGGTGATGAACCAAATGGTGACGGAAAATTTAGCGGTGGAGGTGGCCCACTAGAACCACTTCCAGGTGGTTTAGGTCCACCTGGAAGAGCATGTAATGGTAACGGATGAAATAGAGAACTACTACGATTCATTAATAATTGATCATGATGCGAATTTAATGGTGGAAATAGTGGTGGTGGCCCAGATTGATGAAGTAATGGTGGTCCTTTATCCAAAGAAAAGGATAATTTCTATGAAAAAAAATGAATAAAAGTTAGATAATAATATTTGTTTCTCTTTTAATTTATATACATACAGATAAATTACGATCTTCTTGTTTAATTCCCATCATCATCAAAGCAGCCGATGATGGTGTTGGTGGTATGGAAGACATTGATGACATTTCTTGTTGTTGTTGTTGTTGTTGCTGCTGCTGCTGCTGCTGCTGATGTTTATGTTGTTGTTGTTGTTCATTATTATTTGATGATGTTTGTTTTTGTTCTTTTGGACGAGTACGTGAACCACGTTTAAGTATAATATCAGTACGTGCACAGGAATTTTGTGATTTTGATCGATCATAAACTTGTAGCAAAGAAATTCCTTGAGATTTATTATAACATTCTACAAGATAAAATTAAATTTATATTTTCTTTTCAATAAAATATTATTTTCTAACCTCTTTCACATGGCAATGGCATTGGTCCTTCATCACAAATTATTTCATTATTACCATTTGTTGAACTATCTGATGTGTTACCATCATCATTAATATCTGTTGTTAATAAATCATTATCTTTTGATTCATTTAATGATGATGGAATTAGAAGTGGTGGTGGTAAACAAAGCGATGATGGAGTTACATCACCACTAAGAATCGTTGGGTGGATAGGAGTTGATTTTGGTGTATGATTAAGACTATTTGAATGTGAATGTGAACGATGAGATGATGGAGAATCTAATTCTTCTATTAAAAGAAAAGAACAATTGAAATTATTATTTTTTTCTTATTTAAGCAATAAATATTTTATATACCTTTAGGTATTCGTCGTTGATCAGGACTATGAATAGATGATTTTGATGTACGTGAAAATGCTGAACGAGGTGAAGATAACAATGATGGTTGTAATGAATTTGAATATAATGACGATGATTCATTTATAGTTGGTTCAGATTTAATTATTGTTGTTGATGATGATGGTGATAAAATTAAATTTGGATTTGTTTGTTTCGTATGATCAATAAGAATTTTATTTGTTATTTTAGCAGCACCATTTGAAAGAATTGATGATGACGATGATGGAGAATTAATTTCTTGTTTACATGTTGTTGATGTTATTATTAATGATGGTAATGGTTGAGAAAGTGTTGGTGACGGTAATTCTTCAGGTTTTATTAGAAAGCCTGATGTTGTCATAGGAGGAATTGAATCGGATGATTCTAAAAAAAAACAAGATAAGATAAAAACCTATAATTTTCTAGACATCAACCGGAAACGGAAATGTTATTCGATTAATTTACAGAGAAAATCTTATTAAAATTTGTTTTAGTTTTGAAGAAAAAAAAAGAAATGAACATATAATATTTACCTAGCAATGGTTTTTCATTTTCTTGTTCTTCTAATTTAATTGTTGAATTAATTGTTGATTCATCTTTGATATTATCTTCTTCTTCTCCTTCTTGTTTGATTGATGATGATATATGTTCACTAGCACGAGTTTTCTTTTTTGAACGAGTGGATGAATTTTTAGTATTTTCATCAAGTTTTTCAACTGCGGATGTTGATGTCGAAGAGAGAGCTAATGTTGCTGTTGTAGTTGATGACGACGACGAAGATGATGATGACGAAGATGTTGGTAATGATGAAGGAGGCGGAGATGATGATTGTTTTAATTGTTTTCGTTTTCGTTTACTACTATTACTTGGACTCGTTTCAGTTAATGGTTTAAATAGATAAGATGGAGGTTCTTGATTAATAATTGGCATTTCACCATATTTTTTATAATACATTCTACAATCATAACATAATTGTTGACTATCACGTCCACCTGATTGTAAATCTTTTGATGTTGTTTGACAATGACGACAAAATTGTTCATCATTATCTGTTGTTGTATTATCATCATTATCAGAATTATGTTCTGATTCATCTTTATTATTATTTTTTGCATTTCGTTGTTTCGCTGGTGTTGGTGTTGTTGATAAATTAACTGAAGTTGAACATGGACGTTGTCGACGACGTGGACGACTTGATTGAGCTTGTGGAGTTTTTTTCCATAGATAATAAAATTCGACGAGATCAGACGTTTCTTTATGTGGTAAATGTTCTTTACGTATACGATAAAAATTTTTTCCATATTGTCTTAAGCCTTTAATAAATTTTTTTTGATCATCATCTGACCATTTTCTATCGATACCTTTCGGTATTGGACATTTAACAAGTGATTGTATAGCACGTTTACAATCATAATCATGATTATGTAAAGTAGTTAATGCATTAATTGTTGTATCATCTCGTTGTGCGACATCATACATATCTTCTGGTAGACCTCGATCACACATTCCAGCAAATGCTGCAATTGATCGTGCTGCTTGTAAATACATAGATAAATCAATATCGGATGTTTTATTTTTCCATAATAATTCTTCACGTAATGAACATATATCATCATTAACACCATTTGTTAATGATGATGATGAATATGATTTCAAAAGTGGCAATTTAGCTTGATGTGATGGACCAACGCGTATTTCACCTTGCGTGTTCGCCAGTCTGCGTGCTTCCGGATTGTATGTTAAAATATAAAAGAACGTATCCGGATCGGGTTTGAACGCTCGAGCTTCTTCAATATCTTGATAGTGAGCAACACGGCACCGGCCTCTGAATTAAATCAAAAAAAAACGTTTAGATAGACAAAACAAATCTTTATATATGTATCTGTATATACATATATAAATGTGTATTTGTGTGTGTGTACGTAATAAGTACACATTCTTTGTTCTCTTTTCCTTGTCAAGAGATTACAGTTGTCGGTCGTCAATTTTTTTTTCTCTTCTTCTTGTTCTCGTTTCTCTCATTTTTTTTCTATTCTGTTCTGTATTCAAGTCAATAAGGTTTTAAATGTTCTTCTTACTTAATGTGTACGGCCGGATAGAATTCTTTGATTTCCGATACGAATAATTCACGACCAATAATATTTGGATCTTGTATTATACCAGAATCTTTCGTTTGTTTATCTTTAATTGATGTTGATGTTTGATTGTTACCCTCTTTAAGAAATAAAATAAGATATATTAATAAATAAATAAATAAATAAATCTATAAATATATATTTATACCATTTTCTTCTTTTATATATAAAAAACAACAAAAAGCATCAAGTAATTTAGTTTTCTTTTAGTTGAATGAACGGAAATCATGTCGACAACGACAAT